CCCCAAAACCCCAAAACCCCAAAACCCCTTTTTTCATAATTTTGGTTGGAAACTTATACAAAATATTTAAACTGTCTGACTTAACTACCGCATTCATGGGAAGTATTAGACCTCTTGAATGCATGATTGTCAAGTAAAATATCCTCATTAACTCTGCTCTTCCTGCCAAGAGATTTATTGGCAATATCTTTTTCAAAAACGCAGGTGACAGCTTCTTCAAAATCCTTCCTTGAGCTAATCGGATGCTGCTCAATGAGATTATCGAAAGCTTTCAATGGAAGTGTGGATCTTCTCTTGAAATCTCCGCTTTTAGGGTTTGTTAAGCTCTCTCTTGGGGAATTTGAGAGGTTGTTCCTCTCACTTTCTATCGTTGTGGTAGACCTATACCTCAATAAACCCAGTCCAGACCCTGAATGCCCACGACTATGACTGTATCTTACCTCATAAAGTGGCTACTGCCCATATGACTTTTCCTTTTGTTCACAAGTTCTTCAAAGGTATTCTCCTCGTAAATCCTGGCCGGCTTGGTCTCGATCTTAGACTTGCTCCTCTTATAATACTTCTCTGCCTGCTTGGTCCTCTTCTGAGGAATCTTCTTCGTCGATAAGGCTGTCCGGTTTTGCCTGATCATGAACCCGCCAGCAGTCTTCTTCAGAACTTTCTTCTTTGAGTTCAGGAGAATCAGCTTTGAAGAGCTGCTGATCCTTTTCTTTTGAAGAAGAAATTTCTCAATAACATTTTTAGCGTTAGCGGCCCCTTCCTTCTTGAACAGCTTGTTGCGGCAGATCTTCTTGATCGGCTTTTTATTTTGACTTGCATTTCTGTAGCGAGGTTTCAGCGGAATTTTTATATGTCTTGGGCGACTTTGGCAGGGAACTTTTTCAACCCTTTTTGGAAGTCAGGTTTAGACTGGTGGGGAGTAGATTCAAGTCCACTTCGTCCTCCCTTTCGAAATCTGAAGAGAGAGTTGAAGCTAGCTGGTTTTTCTTATTTTTATCACTAGGAGACTGAGACTTTGGTGATTCCAACCTTGGAGAAGATTTGCTCTTACTCACACTCGACCTAAAGCTTGAACTACTATCATTTCGCTCTCTCTTGACAACTCTTATTCTAAGGATAAATTATGGTCTAGCTTACCCAGGGGTGATGAATTCTCCAAAAACCATCTTGCTACTATTTATGCAGGCTATTTCGACCTATGTTTTGTTAAGGTTATATAGTTTTCACAATTCATACAAGTTGATGAAGATTCCGATTGGTGTTGTTCGAAACTAACACATTTGGGAGATTTATTGCCGAACCTTCCTGGAAAATGAAGGTGAAGGTCCTTGTTGTATACAAATCTCAAAGTGAGGTCAGACCAAAACTTGAGGGACCAAATACAATATTTTTAAATAAGCTGGGCTACAATAGCACTTTGGATTAGCCCTTCTAAATATCTACTCTATTAAGACTCTTGGGCAGAAAATGATACTTTTGGCTCCTTATCATCCTCAAATTGAGCTGCAAAACTGTACAGAAGCTAAGTGGTATTGACAGTTTGAAACTTGGCTGCTAACATGAAGCTACTAAATTTTAAGGTTTTTAAGAATTTACTAATCTTCATCAAAAGGTTATACGTTAGTCGTTGGTATGAAAATGAATGCTAAGCTTAGCCTAAACTGGCTGCTTAAAGTTGAAAACATATCTGTAGGTAGCCCTCTCAGTAATTAGCCACACACTGAAGGCTCATTAACAAGCATTCAGCTAGTTACCAGCTGGGCTTAATGTTGCTACTATCTTCTTCTGTGGTAAGAGAATCGAAGATTATGATTAAAAAATTTCGAATTCAGCAATTTGTGTTAGGTTTTATACAAAAACTCTTCTATTTTGGCTTACCTTGACTTGGAATCCTTAGGCTCTAGAATAGGGTTAGTACAAGCTTGGGTTATGAAGAGGTAATCAAACTCCAAAAGTTCCAGCACTAGAAAGCATGAGTGCTGGCGGAGAGTACATTAGGATGAGTGGGAGCAGAATTGGAAGAAAACACTTACTTTGATTTTAGACAGATCGTCAAATTTGTAGGAATTGAAAAAGTCTTTGCTTTCAGCTTGATTCATATTACTCTTTCAGAAAAGTTAAATTAATATCTATAAAATAGTTCGAATGAGGGGTTTTGGGGTTTTGGGGTTTTGGGGTTTTGGGGTTTTGGGGTTTTGGGG